TGTGTGTGTGTGTGTGTGTTTGTGTGTGTGTGTGTGTTTGTTACTCTCCAACGATGTGCAAAATTGTCCCTGCGGCAGACTATTTTAAATTCTCCTCTTGGCATCATATATCAGAGTGAATCATAACATTCATGAATAACAAAATGGATAGTAGGATGCGAGGATGGACTTTGACACTTAGTCATTCCGATTAAGCTTTTCCAAATTATTGCTTTCATGTGTTTCATTCCAAAAGTTCATTACTTTAAGTTTAGATTTCACATCTCTGCAAAAGATGAGACAAGTGGATTATGTTTAGAAGAAAACAAACTTGCAGTTAAGTTTCTTGCATTTCATTATGTCTATTTAAGTGTGTGATACATTTTTAATAGCAACTTTGTACTCACTTATCTGTTAAAAATGTACTGTACAAAATGTTTTAATTTTATGATTAAAAAAAAACTGAAGGCTGTAGTTTCCTTAAAGGAGACCTATTATGCCCCCTTTTACAATATGTAATATAAGTCTCTGGTGTCCCCACAATGTCTGTGACGTTTCAAAATACCCCACAGATTATTTATTATATCATTTTGACAAAGCCTATTTTGAGTGGAAGCAGAAACACGCTGTTTTTGTACACGTCTCTTTAAATGCAAATAAGCTGCTGCTCCCCGCCCCCTTTTCCAGAATAGGGCTGTGCCTTTACAGCTCGTACCTCAGATACTCTGCTAAAAACATCTGTTTGGTTTTGATTATCATGTCTATCGCGCTGAAATCATGCGTTTTAAACCATATTAGTTTAAACTTCTGATATACGGTTTTCTGAGCGCACACATCTAAAGCACGCACACAGAAAGTGGCTGTCACACGGCATGTGAGTACTAAACTAAGTTCTCTTTCATGTCGTATTGCACTTAAACTGTCAAATACACACAAGTTTATACACACAAGCCAAAATCAAAGACATGCTTTTCTCAAACTTTTGCCAAGGCATTAGAACTAGTAGATGTCGATTGTGAAAACACAATGGCGGCGATGTGGGTGGAAACTTTCAGATTAAGGGGCGGTAATATTATAATAAGATCCCCTTTCTACGTCACGGGGGGAGCGAAATCTGAGCAACTAATTTTTTTCACAAGCTTGCAGAAAAAGGTTTACGAAAAAAATTACTGGGCTGTTCTTTTTCACATTTTTTGGGCTGGTAGATGCACCGAGACCCGATTATAGCACTTGAACATGAAAAAAGTCAGATTTTCATGATATGTCACCTTTAAAAGTTTACCTTTGTGTCTCATTCATAGAAAATGTTTCCTTTTCCTTGGGAGAGTAAAGGATTCAGGTATCAGTGAACTTTTTTTTCAAAAAAAAGATATAATAACAATATATATATATATATATATATATATATATATATATACAGTATAAAATAAAAAATGCACTATAATTACTATATTTTACAGTCAATTTAAATGCATTTTTACATGCATGTATTTTTTAAAACATAATAGCATTTATACAGTTAGTTAATTAACTGTTTTTTTACAGTAGCATTTCTACATAATCGTTCCATACTGCATTTTCTGCAGTGTGGGAAGTTTGGCATTTATACTTATAGAGGAAGAATAAACTTTGATTTCCAACTTTCAGATTAAGGGGCGGTAATATTATAATAAGATCCCCTTTCTACGTCACGGGGGGAGCGAAATCTGAGCAACTAATTTTTTTCACAAGCTTGCAGAAAAAGGTTTACGAAAAAAATTACTGGGCTGTTCTTTTTCACATTTTTTGGGCTGGTAGATGCACCGAGACCCGATTATAGCACTTGAACATGAAAAAAGTCAGATTTTCATGATATGTCACCTTTACATTGACTGTAAAAATACAGTGACAATATTTCAGCATTATGAGATGACAATAAAAAATAAAAACATAATTTTAGCCTTATTTTATAAATAGTCATATTTAACATTAATATAATATATATTTTATATTTCTGAATATATAATTACATTATTTAATAATTAACATTTTTTTTACCAAAAAGTAATATTAAATCAATATACATATATATATATATATATATATATATATACAGTATAAAAT